ATGTATCCCATCTCACCTTTGAGTTCAACCACCGCCGCCAGCCTGCGTTCAGTCGCACCCAGCATACGGCTCAGCTCCTGATCCTGCTCCTTCACAGCCTTTGTGAGCGTTTCAGCTGCTGCCATCAGCCTGATCGACGCCCAGATAGCCGCCGACATCCTCTGTAATTGTAGATCCATCAGGTATCCTTCAAATCCCAACAGGAGAAATCAGAGAATCATAAAACCAAAAATCCACACATCTTCTACATCCTCCACTGACAGCGTAGTGAAACACACCATCCTCCAAGCCTTCCAGGAGTCCATGGTGTTTCCCATGAAGTAGGTCCCAGCAGGACAGGAAGGGTCCCCATTACCCTGCCTTCCAGTCAAGAATTTAATCAACTGCATCTAGAGACCAGCTGCCAAGATTGATTGTTTGAATTCGGTTGAAGAAAGAGCTCAGGAAGACAAGACACAGCAAAGCGGGGACAGATCGGGGAGCTGCAGAGCAGCAGGAAATGCGACCGCCTCCTTCAAACGTCACAAAAGATCTGTGCTTCAAACAAAGGGAGCAAAACAATGTACCGTAAAATGTAGACCGGTATGGGGCGTTGCAGGCTAACAAAGAAGCCAAACGACCTCCATTCCAAAGGGGGGGACCCGTTCATCCGTTTCTATTTGCATGTTTTCTAAACTAAAATCAGGCTTTGTTGGGCTGCTGGATAAAACCTGGAACTAAACGCTATTTCTGACATTTTGGATTGAAAAATCTTCCTGGATGGAAGAGAAACGTCTTTAGACTCGGAAACAAATTCCAGAGGATTATTTTTAAGTTTTTTTTTGAATGTTCACAATCTACATGAAGAGTTGTTGGTGTTTTGTCTCTAATCTAATCCCACATAGAAGCTTTAAAGTGAGAAATGCAATGACAGCCGTGTATGAAAGTGTTTGAGCTCTTCTCCAAGTAGCCTTTGGTACAGAATCATCTCTAAAGTCACTAACTGATCGGTGAATAAAGTCCTAATGACTTGACCCATTGCTGCCGTCTCTGCTTTACTCATTTCTGTTTCTTTTGTCTTGACAGCAGCGGCTCCCTCTGACAATCTGCAAACGGCGCAGAGAAACCTTAATAAGCTCCATCCAGCACCCAGGAATGAAGATGATGGTTTGAAGGAGCCAATAAGCTGAAGAGGAACGGCTGGTAAATGTTCTTGCAAATTAAAGCCTTTATTGCAGGTCGGGGTCTCTGCGGTTGGAGTGGTCTTAAGCTGGGATTGGCTGTGAACGTTTTGGGGGACAGAAAATTGGTGGGATTGACAATTCTGTTTGGGTTTAGACTTAGACTGAGACTGAGGCCTTATTAATCCCTTGGTGTTACTCCTTCAGGGAAATTCTGGTTCCAGTAGCTTATATACAGTCGAGTACAAAGAGTCAAAGCAAGATGGCATTAAAGATAAAAATACAACAGACAATATAAAAAGAGTGTCTATAGTACAAAAGAGCATAAAAAGTTATAATATCCTGGAATGAGTTTCCTTTAAAATAAAAATATCTGCACAGTAGAGAGCTGAGGAAAGACTTGGGGAGACTTCCTAAAGTGAGGAGCTGTACAGCTTGATGGCTTGAGGAGCAAAGAAGTTCAGCAGTCTGTTGCTCCTGCATTTGGGGAGCAGCAATCTCCCTCTGATCAGGCTCCTCTGAGTGGTGAAGACAGGGTGGCTGGCATTGTCCATAATGTCGAGCGGTTTGTTAAGTGTCCTTGTCTCTGCCACCGTCCCCAGAGGGTCCAGCTT